AAAAGAGAAAATGTCGAAGCCGGTGTGCATTGATATGGAGAGGAAAGGACGGGAGGTGGGAGTGGGGCAGGCTGAAGGAGGAGGAGGAGGAGGAGGAGGAGGAGGAGGAGGAGGAGGCTCCACCTGTTGACTTCCAGGCCGGAGTTCATGTCCCAGAAGCGGACGGATGCGTCCTTGCTGCCGGAGATGACGAGGTTTCCCTGGGAGCTGTAGGCCAGGCAGGTGACGCTGCCCTCGTGCCCGCGGAAGGAGCGGACGGGCTGGGTCCTGTCAACTGTCCACAAGCGAACCTGCGTGAGAAGGATGAGGATCAAGATGAGAAGGTGAGCAATGAGATGAACGGGTGGGGGTGGGGGAGGTGGAGGTGGAGGAGGAGGAGTGTGCTAGAACGAGGCGGAGGAAGGGCGAGAGGAGTGATTGGAATAGAGGAAATTGCAAGGAGTGAGAGGAGGGATGGAGGAGGGCGAGACTGACATAGTGGTCGTATCCGCCCGAAACAACGATTCTCGGCTCCTCCGGATGGCAGGCGACAGCGTAGACGTCTCCCTTGTGCGAGACGAGGGTCTCGGAGGGATCGCAATCATAACTGCAAGCAGATGAGAGGACAGCGACACAGGAAAGGGGAGGAAGAGGAGGGAGAGGAGGGAGGGGAGGGAGAGGAAGGAGAGGAAAGGGAAGAGGATGAGGAGACAGGAGGGCACAAGAGGAAGGGAAAGGAGGGAGAGGTGGGGGCAGGAGGAGAGGAAAGGGAGGGGGGGGGGGGGGTCGAGTGCGCTCTTGACCTTCTCCCTTGATGCCATGTCCTCATCTCCGAAGGTCGTCGGGTTGTTGAAGAGTTCCCAGCACTGAGCAGCTCAAGTTTCTGCTCGACATTCCAGACCTTGACCGTCGAGTCGCCTGCGATTCGTCGCCGTCAGACGCTCGCACAAGAGCAAAGTGAATGAGTCAAGCATGTTGTGAAGACATGTGACGAGGGTGGTGGTGGTGATGATGATGATGACGACGACGACGACGACGACGACGACGACAATGATGATATTAATGAAGATGAAGATGAAGATGAAGATGATGCAGAGAAGGAGGAGGAGAATGATTGAGTGTAATCTTTGCTCTCACCCGATGCGCTGCAGATGATGTTTCCGCTAGATGCGATGGAGATGTCCCAGATGCGAGAAGTGTGTCCGCGGAGGAGGAGGGAAGTTGAAACTCCTCCATGAGGCTCCGCAATGTTCCAAACCCTGACAATGCGAGTCAGTCGGGGATTGAGATCTTGGGGGGGGGGGAGAACGTGGAGAGAGGAAGGAAGTTGAGGAGAGGGGAGAGGAAGTCATTGAAAGGGAAACCTCGCAGTAAAGAGACATGAAGTAGAGGAGAGGAGAGGAGAGGAGAGGAGAGGAGAGGAGAGGAGGAGGAGAAGAGAATCTGTGTTTGAGGCACCTCAAAGTCTGATCGCTTGACCCTGAGACAAGATAATTCCTGTCAGCTCCCATGAAGGCGACACACTTGACGTTGGACGTGTGGCCCTTGTACTCGTGCTTGACTGCATTAGGCAGGACGAAACACTCGTAGTCGCGGAGGAGGGTCGTGATGGGGGGTCGAATCTGCGGGAGGGAGGACGGGAGGCGGTGTGCCAGTCAAGAGACAGGCAGGTGAGGGCAGACATATCAAGATCTTTCACCTTGGGCTGATAATGCGACGTGCTGATCTGAAACTCGACAGCCTGCTCTAGCAGTTTCCGCATGCGGCCATGCGGCACCTGAAAGCAATGTGAGGAGGAAGAGGAGGTCAACGCGGAGGAGGAAGAAAGGGAAAGAGATTCAGGAGTGGGAGTGAAGCGAACAAGTGAAACGGGGGGAGTAGGAGGAACCAGACAAGAAGGAACAAGAAAAGGAGGAGGAGGAGTAAAACGAGAAGTAAGATGGCAGGCTCAAAAACCTCTGCAATTAGATCCGACCCAGTGTCTGTTCCCTCGGAGTCGGCGAGCAGCGAGTTGAACATGGAGGCAAGCCTCATCCTAGCCGCCGCGATCCCCTCCCAGTCCTTGTCCACGTCTGCGATTGACTTGCAGGTCAGCAGGTAGCACAGGTCCTTGAACTCCTCCGGGTTGGCCCGCTGCTTCTCAAACGGCTTCAGCTTCTTCGTCAGGTACGTGAAAGCCTTCTGGTACTCCTGGCGGTCGACCAGTTCCAGGTACTGCTGCTTGTAGACGCAGTACAGAAAGTTCTTCATGCTCTTGATGCTGCTCTTGTTGCAGAACTTCTCCACCTCCGCCCACTCCCCCTCAATGATGGCCTTCTTCACCTTCTTGCTCCAAGTGCGCCACTCCTGCTCTGCCCTCTTACCCTCTGCCCTCCGCATGTTCGCTTCATCCATCAGCATCATGGAAGACGTCGAGTATCCTTCTCCCTGCAGGTACGCAGCAATCATGCGGAGAACCTCGTCCTTGATCGACGGGTTCTCCCAATCTATCACCGCCCTCCCGCAGCTCGACTCTACCGAACTGACGGCCCCCCCGACGTAAGTGGCGTTGGCAGCCTGCTCCCGGATGAAATTCACAGCGTCCATGACCTCACGAGTGCCCTCGGACCTTGTCGCCTCCTCCCCTGCCGACGACATCTTCTTGCAGAAACTATTCCCCACTCAACCCAACCTCCTCCTATGAGACCGCTTGCTCTCTCGCAGACATGTCATCTGGAAGGCACTCCGTGTCCCTTTCCCCGGCCTGTCAGCGCTGTCCTTCCCTCCTTGACGAGTCCTTCCCTCCTTGATGAGTCCTTCCCTCCTCCTCGCTCTCTCCTCGGCTCCCAGTCCTTGCCTCCTCCTCGCTCTCTCCTCGGCTCCCAGTCCTTCCCTCCTCCTCGCTCTCTCCTCTGCTTGCCCTTGGGCTTCACTGCCGCCTCTTCATCCTCCTCCCTCCACCATGCTGCCTTCTCCTGCGACTTCTCCGCCCCGCATGAGCGATGAGGGGGATGAGGGGGGGGGGGGGGTCTCAAATGCTCCATCGCTGGGGAATGAAACTTCCACCACAAGACAACACTGAAGATCGCCAGAGACAATCCAAACCATGCTGATACCGTTGAAGAATAAAACTTGACAAAAGTCGTGATGCCAACGTTGATGACAAAGAATGGGATGGAGACCGCGAACAGGTTCAGGACCTGGATGTAGCGTTTCTCATGCCGCACCTGCAGCAAGGATCA